GGGTCCTCATTTTACCCACCTCGGAAGGATGGAAGGCTGAGTCGACCTTGAGCCTGGGGAGATTCGGACTGCCAAAACTGCTGGCAGCCGGCAGTCAGCAGAAGTAGCCTGTGGTACTGCATTCTAGCCACTGCACCACCATGGCTCAATAGGATGTCAACTTCCAGATACAATGAAATGTTGATCTTTGTTTGACTTTATTTGAACCTTCACGTCTCCCTAGTGAGTGCAGGAGTTGGCAAAAATCCTAACTGGAAGCCCCCCACCCCCACCTCAATTCAATTCTGGAGCCGACCAGAAATCCAGTTCCCCCACCATAGAATCTCCTCCTAGAGTGGCATCCTTTTTCCTTTTACCGACCGGCGACAGGGAGCCACAGCAGAGGGATGAAAGGGCCACATGCGGCTCCAGAGCCGCAGGTTGACGACCCCTGTCCTAGTGTAATGTATGTTCCAGGAATTCTTGAATAAGAATATAGCGAGACTGAAGGTGTCCAACCCTGGCAACTTTTAAGGTATTTAGACTTCAATTCCCAGAATTCCCCAGCCAGCCTTCCACTGAAAGAGAAAGAACTGCAGCATCTGAAGGCTTCCAATTCTTAAAAAAATGTGCTTCAGTGAGCTTGGTGGCTTTCTTGCAGATGTTTCATGATCCAATGATAGTCCTAATGGTGTTATCTAAAGTGGGTCATGAAACATCTGCAAGAAAACCACCACAGAGCACCGATGCCCGCTAATTCCAACCCTGAGTTACGCCTATTCTTCTTTATCAGACAAGCTCATTGCAGAACCACAATGGTTCTGCTTGGCAAGAAGGAGGCGTTCCCTTACCTCCTGATAGTAAGTTGAGGCCAAACCATATTCTCCATTGACCTGGGCCTCTCGAGCAAAGAGCTGGAGCTGCTCCAAGGTGGTGTATACAGGAGGAGGAGGGCTTGGAGTCTGGAGGGACAGCACCTGGTCAAGGCAGGGAAACAAGGAACATTCAGGCTGGTTCAGTTACAGGAGGGCTCAACGCAGCACTTGGCAATATGTATTCGAGCAGAGGTAATCCTCGACTTACAAACATTTATTTAGTGACCATTGGAAGTTAGAGCGGCACTGAAAACAATGACTTATGACCAAAAGTCTATGAAGGTTCTCAGTCATCCAGGTAATGTTGTCCCAAAGGTGCTTTTTTCAAGAGGCAACCGGAATTTCTTCTTTTTTTCTTTGAAGGCGTTTTGCTTCTCATGCAAAAAAGCTTCTTCAGTTCTAACTAGACGGTGGGGAATGGAAGGATTTATACTCCTTGCAGTCAGCCGGTCATTTGCATCCTTTTAGAGGGTTGTTGAGGCCACTTGCAGGTTTATCTGTGTTCTTAGGGTCATCTTAGTAGTGTAAATAGGTGTGGAGCCTCCTTGCCTCCAGGATGTTTCCTGCCCTGTGTCCCTTATAAATCTTTCCATTCCCCACCATCCAGTCAGAACTGAAGAAGCTTCTTGGATGAGAAGCAAAACATCTTCAAAGAAAACAAGTGCCTTATGACCATTTTCCACACTTGCGACCGTTTCAGCATCCCCATGGTCCCATGATCAAAACTCAGATGCTTGGCAATTGTCTCATATTTATGACGGTTTCAGTGTCCCAGAGTCACATGATCCTCTTTTGCAACGTTCAGACCGGCAAAGTCTATGGATAAACCAAACTCACTGAACAACCTTGTTCCTAACTGGACAATTGCCATGGTTCACTTAACAACTGTGGCAAAAAAGGTCATAAAATGGGGCAAAAACCCACTTCACAAACGTCTCGCTTAGCCACAGAAACGTTGGGGTCCACTGTGGGTCATAAGTCGAGGACTACCTGTGTAGACAGTCTTCTTGAACTTTCACCGTCGGCACGTGAGACACAGATTGCTCTGTTGCCAGCAAAAATGAAAATGGATTAAGTCATCCTTCCCCGATTACTCTTCCCTTGGGTTGCTTGACATGGGTCACCCCAAAACAGCCTCAACAGTCGAAGGAGAAAGAGCAACTCTTCCAAAGCTCACCTGGTTCAATGCAATGTGCATCTGATCCATCAGGTAGACGTACAACTCACTGAGGAAAGTTTGGAGTTGGTCCAGAGTTTCAAAGGCAGTTGTCTTCAAGTACTTCTCCCGCACAATTTTTACAACCGCGTGCTATAAGGAAGAGAAAGACTCAATTCCAAGGATCCCACCAGAGGTGGTCTTTAGCAGGTTCTGACCAGTTCTGGAGAACCGGTAGAAGAAATTTGGAGTAGTTCAGAGAATGGGCCAATCCCGCCTCTGACTGGCCCCGCCAACCCCATCTCTTCTACTGCCTCCCATTGAGTCCCAGCTGATCGGCTGGGTCTTCTTTGGTTGCCCTGCACAGGAGAACGGAGCTGGAAAGCAGGTTAGTGGGGTGGGGAGGGAAGGGGCATTTTGCAGTAACCTTCCCCGCCACTCCCACCAACCCACGCCCACGAAGCCACACCCGCGGGACTGGTAGTAAAAAAAAAATTGGAATCCCACCACTGGACCTCACACATTTTGGAAGAGAGGGAGCAGTGGATTTATGAGGTGTTAGATTCCATTGCTTTATGGGTCACTACAGATCTAAAGGAAGGGGGTGTCAGACCTGCCACCACTTAAACCTCTAAGCAGAAGCGATCCTTAGAGCGCCATTTGTTGAGAAAGGTATAGTTTGATTAGAAGCCAGGTGTACTGCGGGGTTGCAAAGCCAGAACTGAGAATCATGGGCCAAAATCCTAATGAGAACTTTTTTTCCTTCCTTAACTGTCTCCCATCACTGCCCGCCCTCCCCATGAGCAATCACTTTCAAGCAAGGTAATTTCAGAACAGTCGCTTCAAGCATAGCTTGGTATGCATCTATTTTTCTTTTGCAGCCGGTTGACCTTGAAGCAGCATCTCAGGAAGATACAGAGGCTACTTTCGCTTTCCCCCAAGCATCCTCCCTCCCGATCCATCCTCTCCAGAGTTCATGGCAGACTGTCGCCCGCATGGTAGCGGAGCACAAGCAAGCGTAAGGGGGCAGCTGACAGGGGGCTTCTGAAATGCTAAAAGGAGAATCCCACGAGGAGAGAATGTGATACTTCCACGTGTCATTCCACCCTCTCCAATAAAACTTCCCTTTTACAAAGAGAGACCCGCCTTGTGACAAAATACCTTGAGTTGCTCCTTAAAGGCAAAATATTTCCCCGAGGTGTTCAGCTCATAGTTGAGTTGACATTTCTGGTCTTCCAGGGTCTGAGTATCAACGACAAGACCTTGGACCACCTGCCTTCCAAAGAGTTCATGATACTCATCTAGGATAGATGCAGCAATGCTGGTGATCTGCGTGTGGTAATCTTCCACGGCCTAAAGAATAGAACAGAATAGAATAGAATTCTTTATTGGGCAAGTGTGATTGGAGACACAAGGAATTTGTCTTCGGTGTACAGGCTCTCAGTATACATGAAGAAAAAATAAAATACATTCATCAAGAATCATAAGATACAACACTTAGTGATGATCATATAGGTTACTAATAAGCAATCAAATCATACTAGGAAACTAATATAAATCGTAAAGATACAAGCAACACATTATAGTCATAAGTGGGAAGAGATAGGTACTAGGAAGCGTTATTGTAGTCTAATAGTAGAGGAATAATAGTAATACTGTCTTAGTAAATAAGTTGACGGTGTTGTGGGAATTCGTTGTTTAGCAGAGTGATGGCATTTGGGGAAAAACTGTTCTTGTGTCTAGTTCTTCTGTTGTGCAATGCTCTATAGCATTGTTTTGAGGGAAGGAGTTGAAACAATTTATGTCCAGGATGTGAGGGGTCTGTAGGTATTTTCACAGCCTTCTTTTTGACTCGTGCAGTATACAGGTCCACAGTGGAAGGCAGGTTGGTAGCAATTGTTTTTTTTTCTGCAGTTCTAACTATCTACTGAAGTCTGTTTCTGTCTTGTTGGGTTGCAGAACCCAACCAGACAGTGATAGAGGTGCAGGTGATAGACTCAATCATTCCTCAGTAGAACTGGATCAGCAGCTCCTTAGGCAGTTTGAGCTTTCTGAGTTGGCGCAGAAAGTACATTCTTTGTTGTGCTTTTTTGATGACGTTTTTGATACTAGATTTCAATTTCAAGTCAATTTAAGTCAAGAAGCCAGGAAAGCCTTCAAGTGAACTCAAGTGTTGTCAGAAATAATTTCTCCATGGGACGATGGCATACACTCCTGGCAAACCCGCTTGGTTGCTGACCTCTACTGCTTGAATTGTGACACTCCAACCATCAAGTCTCATCCTTGGATATCTAGGCCCAGAGAGCTTCTAGTGTACTGACAAAAGGGAGGATTTGTAGCTCAGGTTTGAGCTGTGAGGTCCCCGTTGCTGTCTGAACTTGGTGCTTTTCTTGCCAACATTTCATTACCAAACTAGGCTAGTACTGATGATGTTACTCGGTAGGGTAATGAGACGTCAGCAAAAAAATTCCCAAGTTCGGATGGCAACAAGGACCCCCATGGCTTCTAGTGTGGGAGGAGGACTGAGTACCAGGCAGGAGGTCAAAAGCACATGTTGGATGTGGCTTATGGGTTAGATTTTATGGTCGGTTAGATGTTTCCGAAGGGGCAGAAATGATGATACAGCAGTGAACCGCGATCAAAGGTGAATTCTGGATGGCAGCCTTTCTGGATAAAGGAGAGGCCAGAGATCGCCAGTCCGCATTTCCCTGCATCCCAGATGGCTTCTCCTTTCTTTTTGGCTTTCCCTTTTTCTCCTATCTTGAACTTCAAGTGTTTTTATTGTTTGTTTTTATTCTGTGCAAAAAAAAAATAGTATTATATCTACATATTGCAGCATCAGTCTGATTTGTTGGGTCACCTTTTCAGTCTCACTTTCACGCTTACCTGTGTGAGAATAAAATCTGGGTGAGGTATTGACTATCTTGGCTTAAGTACTGATCAAAACCAGTGATTGGCAAGCTGGCTGGTGAATTGTGGAAGTTGAAGTTCACATCTCTTAAAGTTGCCAAAGACATGGATTAAAAAAAAAAAACGCGAATACATATGAAGTGTTTCCTTAATGTGACGATAGAGCTGCCTTCCGGAGAACCTCAATTGTTATTCTTTTTTAAATGAAGATGTTTCTAGCCCCTCAGGTTTTAAAAATACACTTGGAAGCAGGCATAGCAAACGATCTTTATTGAAATCCCAGAAACTAGACTAGGGATGTGGGCACTATTCTTAGCTCTCCTACAGGGAAGGCAAATAATTTACGCAAAACAGGAAAAAATTATGCATATCTGAGCAATCTCTTTAGGCTGCAGAGTTGTCTGTTCTTGATACAAAAACTAGACCAGAATGGCAAAGACCAACTAGACCAGAATGGCAAAGATTTTCTTTAAAAAAAATGCAGAAGGAGAACTACTGAGTAGGCTTAATTCCATACCTTCATGGCTCCTGCAGTCCTTCGAGGGAGTGGAGGGTGTGGAGGAATCATCTCTTTCACTCTGAAAGAAAGGACAAAAGGGGATGGTTTTGATAATCCGGCAATTCATTTTGCCATCCCATTCAACGGTTTACTTCGAAGTCAGTTCTATGAAACTGAACAGGATCAGCTGCGGAATTCACACACAAAGGATCGTGTGGGCAAGTTGTTTCAACCAGGGATATGTGTCGATGGGGCTTCTCAGTCGTCCAGGCCATGGGTTGTCCCAGAGATGATTTTTCAAGAGGCAACTGGACTTTCTTGGGTTTCCCTTGAAGACATTTCGTTTCTCATCCAAAAAGCCTCTTCGGTTCTGAAGAAGGAGCTTCTTGGATGAGAAGCAAAATGTCTTCAAAGAATTTTTTTTTTAAAAGTCCAGTTACTTCTTGAAAAAGCACCTTTGGGGCAACCTGGAGGAAATGTTTGTAGAGGACTAACTCAGCTGAGTTGCAGGCCTTGTAGGAGGAAATGATGCTCTCCAAGGTCCTGAAATCTGCCTTGATACAATGTACTGTTGGGTGACCAACCTACTGTATCTTCCTGGGCTCGTGATGAGATCAGAATTCAATAAGAGTATGAGGCACTCAACATTTGTTGTGACTGATCTGGCCCAATATTTAGAATGAATGGGATAAGTAAGGGTAATGCCTTCCACTGACAGAGAATGAGCAGCACTACCAAAGATGCATGGAATCATAGGGCTGGATGGGACCTTGGGGGTCTTCTAGTCTAACCCCATGCCTAAGGCAGGAGTCCTTACACCATCCCAGACAAATGGTTGCCCAACCTTTCCTTGAAAGCCTCCAGTGATGGAGCACCAACACTTTGAGGAGGCAAGCTGTGCCATCAATTAATCATTCTCAGTATCATGTGAGTGTCAAAAACACACCTAGATAGATAGATAGATAGATAGACAGACAGACAGACAGACAGACAGACAGACAGACAGACAGATAGATATAAAACTCACCGGCTGGCAAGTTCCTCTGGAAGACGCTTGGGCACCAAAGCTCTATCCAGTGTAAACTCTAACACAATAAAACTTCCACTTTCCACATATTGCTGGAAAAAGACAGTGGTTGATATTTCTTCTGGAGCACAGGCCACATCCTAGAATGTTTCCATAGCCACCTTCCCCCCAAAATTTATCTCAAACACATTAGGTATCAATTATGGGAATTTAAATCTAAACATCTGGAGAACAGGTAGGTTAATGTCAATCCATTGTTGCAAGACACAGCAGAAGTAACCCAGTGATATGAGAGAGAAAGAGAAAAAGAGAAACAGAAGAAAGAAAGAAAGAAAGAAAGAAAGAAAGAAAGAAAGAAAGAAAG